ACAATGTCGGCGACGGCGATGGCGTCATGAACGCCGGCTCCTGGGCTGACTCGTGCGGTTCCCACGTCGGCGGAACGCTGAGCGCCTGTCGTTGGATATGTCTCTGCGGTGCTTTCGACGGCGAGAATTTTCCACCGGCCCCGGCCTCAGTGATGGGGCCTTGCGACAGGTCACAATATCGGCGATGAGCCTACTGCTGCTTACGACGTCGGCGATGGGCCTCCTTGTCGACTACGACGTCGGCGACGAGCTTTCTTATCGGCAATGTGCACTTCTGCTCGGTTCGAAACCAAGTTCGTCTCGATGTTGCTCGAACGACAGTTACAGGTTAATCGCTTCTTCCTCTCGATCACATCGGCCTTTAGATCTCGCCTTTCGTATCACGATGGCCTTTCGTATCACAACAGCCTTTCGTATTACATCACGTCGGGGTCACTAATGTGAGAATAAGTGACTCAATGGATAAGTCAGATTCTCTAGACAAGCCCACGCTTGTCGTGTGATGTGATATAGAAAATAATGATCGAGACTTTATTTATAACTGGTAATAATAATCTTTATTTCACGAGCACAAATTAATTTGACCGTACAAGATGAACGCCTTTATCGATCTGTTGTTATAATTTTTATTTTTTTTTATTTTTACGCTGCTAGGCAACTCGCTAACTACATAATCCTTAAGCTTTCTATACTCGCTGCGCTAGTGAGGTATTAAGAATTTCCCACAAGTCACGTTTCCCAGCGACACGTGGCTCTGTTATTTAACAAGATCAGCGGATTTGGATGTAAATCCTGCATTTGGACGTGTCTCTCGATTCGCTTATCTTCTTATCGATTATATGCTCTGAGCTTTACGCACGCGTGCGCGTGCGCGAGTGTGTGTTCTGTATTCATTTCATAATAAATTCTTCTTGTTCTTTTTAAAATATTCGTGTTATTTATTTCTGCGGGCCGGGAGTGCGTGAATGCGTTCGCGAGAACGTCTCCGCGAATCGTCGATGTTCGGACGTAACAATACTATAATATATATAATATGCATATTAAGCGTATTATACATCATATATAAATGTGTTTTATTAAAAATACATAAATACGAAAAAAAGAAATGAATTTATAATAATATTTTATGATATCTCCATGGCAACCTATCGGTGGAATCTGGTACAATGTATCATTTATCGTCATATGGACTTAGAGCGATTTTCCTCTTGGATATTGTATACACGTCATGCAATTTAGAATCTCGTGTGACACTTCGTGTTATCAACATCTCTTTTCACCACTCCGCTCTGATATCGCCTTTCATGCTTAATTTTTGCTTACTGTCTTGTGAAAAGTGCTGCCTTATTTAATAGCTCACTGCACATTTTTCGTCTTATTATAGCTGTTGGTGATTATTGCAATACCTCAGTTTTTTATTTTTTTAATTAACTTTTTAAAATATTTACTTTTAACTTCTGGCGAATGCTGGTTGAAACGAACAGAATATATTTCTGTAAGTGAATGACGCGATTTTTCTGCGTTATTTTATTGTGCGTTTTTACTGCATTAATTGTGTGCTTTCATTATTTACTTGTAATACAATATTTTATTATTGTGTAATAATCACGTCATAATTTCAAGTTCAAGCCATTAATTTCAGTTTCAAGTCTAGCCGTTAACGTTATATCGTTATTGTTCTTATTTGTCATTTGTTTCTGTACAGGCACTTTGTTTAAAAGACAGGCACAAATATAAATAATTATTTTGTTAATTTACTGTGTGTCTTTGTTGTGCATCCGTGTAAACATATTTTCTTATACTGTGTCTAATTTTGTGTCTACTTTAACATGAATGTGACAAATATAAACGCTTCATTTCGTGTAAGCGCTCTTGCGCTTTCTGTGGCACCGACTGGTTTGCGCCCCTGATGATGGCGTTCCTACTGGGCGTTACAACTGGCAGTGGGCCGTTGTTGCCTCTGCTTGGAGCTTCTGCTGTCTCCTCGGTTGGTGGCGTCTCGCACCTTTTCTCTCACCTCTACCTGACGAAACTGATGAAATATGGTTTCATTCTTCTCAGATGTCTTTTGATGTCTCATCGGCTCTTTCTACAATTAAGTCCTCTCTGTCTATTTTAACTAATTCCATCTCCTCATTGAAGCACAGAATTGCTCATATTGAGTTAGGACTCTTCTAGATCGTCTCGAGTCCATTCTGGAGACATTTAATGCTAAGCTGGTGAAGTTTAATGAAGTATTTCAATGTCTCGGAGACATCGAGAGTGCTACGAATCGACTGGCGGCGGCTACGGATAGCAGATCATCCTTGAGGAGCGCTGCGCTAGATTGGAAAGGGAGATGCGTACAGGTCCTGCGACCACTGCCTTGCCAAATAGTTACTAATTTTGAGCGTATAATCAATGAGCATAGAGATCATGAGTTCATCATATTCAGTCTGCTAAAAATATCTTCAGAGAACTACACTGAGATTATAACAAGAGTTTTATGATGTTTCAGTATCTACATCGAAGATTGCTCATGCCTTCAGGATTCCTGGTAGAAATTCGTCGTCTCCATTTATTAAATTTACGACAATAGCAAAACGCAATGAGCTAATTGCCAGGACTTGTCGCAGGGGTCGACTGAATGCATCTGACGTCTGTGGCTCCTGGTCGGCCAATAGGATCTCTGTTTGCGAGCATGCTACAGCGTCTGAGTAGCGCACTTTTATTAAGACTCGTCGACTGGCATAGTGTGTAGCGTATTTGGATGCGAAGGAGGATTACATATTTTCGCGTCAAAGATAATGCGCCCTTGTATCATTACACTTCCCCGAATTCACTTCTCTCTATCCTCAAGTTCGTTTTACCTTCCTGTCATCCCACTCCGCTGTCCCTACCGCTTGCATCTGATGGAGATGACTCTGTATGATTCTCTGTAGATCCGTCTCAATTTTCGAGTTAGAGCCGGATGTCTCTCTCAATAGTATACTACATCTTGCGCACATTAATATTAAATCGTTCTTTCCACATGTTGCGTTGATGAGAGACGTTATTGTCTTCCACCGTTTTGTTCTGATCGTCGAGGAAACTTAGTTGCGAAATTCGGTCGACTCTGAATCCATCGACATTGATAACTACGTGCTTGTTCATTAGGACAGATCTACGGTAGATCATGCCATGGAGACGATGTCGCGCTATATGTTTCTCCAATTCCTGATTGGCTTGGGCTCCCGCCGGTGGATACTCTCACCGAGAGTTGCTGTATTCCTCCATTTTGCTCGCGGTCGGGTGGCGTATATTGCCCCCCTGGCCCTTACTTTCTGATTTGCATTATATCGAGTTATACCTATTCTATGCGACATGTATAACATGTATAACCGACCGATTGTGTGTCTGGGCGATTTCAATATTAACATACTCGGTCAAATCGATTGTAATGCCAAACTGTTGCTTGATATCGCGTCGCTATTTTCTCTTAAGCAATTGATTGATGCTCCAACTCGTTTAACATTTAATTCGTCGACCACTTTGGATCATATTTTTGTCTCGTCGAGCATTAATGCGATTGAGTGCGGAGTCAACGATGCGATCAGTGTGAGTGACCATCTTATCATCTATGCGATGCTGGCTATTCCGCAACCACATCATCCTGATCATGTGTCTTTTTAACATTCATGCAATCAGGCCTAGATATTCAGTATGAGCTGAGTTTTATATAAGCAGCGTCGCATATTAATAGGATTGATCTCTCACTTTACTGTCTCTCTTACTGCAGTTTTTGACCGACTCGCCCCGATTACTTGTAGACGTGTTTCTCGTTCCTAGCCAAATGGTGCCGATTACTTGTAGACGTGTTTCTCGTTGCTAACCAAATGATGCAGTCCGACTCATTGAGCTGAAGAGATGCCCTTCTCAGATACAGGCGATCATAGTCTTCTGCTGACTAGCAGCGAAAGTCTGCGAAATTGCTGTTTGACGTTGACATGAACATTGCTGTTTGTCGTGAGAAAAAGTCCTTCCTCTCTATCTCTCTCATGACCTCCTTGCTACAATTCTCCGTACCCTTGGCGATGTATATGGTAGTCCTCCTCTGCTACTATACCTCTGCACTTTAGAAATCCTTCCTTCCTGAATAATCATTTTCTTGATACTCTACCTTCTTCATCTTATTCCTCTAACTCTTTTACTCATCTTCATTCCTCCTCTTCTCATGTTTCCGAGACCTTTAATTTTGCTTCAATCAATCCTAGTGATCTCTATAATATTTTTAAGCGCATTCACCTGAGTCTCTGGATCTCTCCGATCACATGCTCCTACTATGCCTTTCTCATTGTCTCGATCCCTTTCTCTATATGTTAAATTTCTCTCTTTCTCACAGTACCTTTCCCTCTTCCTGGAAACATTCAATTGTTCTTTCTATTCCTAAAACTCCTAACCCTTCTTCTCCTTCATCTTTTCGCTCTATTTCACTTCCCCCTTTACTCTCAAAACTGCTTGATTGTATCTATTATACTTCTCATAATTTAATGCCTTTATCTCAAATTTTAATATCCTTTTCTCCTGTCAGTCAGGTTTTCATCGATCTCACAGCAAGACGACGGAATTGCTTCACATTTTTGTCGTCGTGCTTCATGATTTCGACAAGAGTCGCCTTACTTCCATCGTTGCGCTGGACTTCACAAAGGGTTTCGATACTGTCAATCATGACTTACATTTAGTCAAAAT